GCCCGTCACTCTCCTGCATGCTGCCCCTCCCCACCCCGCCCGCTGCACCCCAACCCCAGGGACACAGCCAGGTCTTCACCCTCAGCGGATCTGGAGATCCTACTCATGTAGAGAGTGGACATCGCCGTGCAGAGCCCAAGGACTAAGAACTAAGTAAGAAACAGGAAATGACTTGGGACTTTATTCATCATCACGCGGATGCTGTTGGGGTTTCTAAACGGTCCTCCCCGCATCCCTGGCCCGATACGCCTCTTTGACACTGACTGGGACTCCAGGACAGGACGGTCACACGCTCCTAATGCAGGAGCAGGCTGGCTTCTCGGGGCTCCCCCACACTCAGCACCTCCCCTTCCTGCCTCCCAAACCACTTGATGGTTTTTGGACTTTTTAAAAATCAAAATCTAAAATGGCCATATTTCTAACTCTTTCAATTAGATAGACAGTATATAACCTAATGGCCATTTATATAACCTAATGGACAGTATATAATCTAATACCCAGATTTATAGATGTTGGATTCTTGTTCTTTTGGCTTCAATGCTTCTCACGGGGACGCTCTTTCCTGTCCTACCCCGGCTCCCCGGAAGGCAGAGGACCTTTCGCTCGCTCATCCCACACCCAGGAAGTACAAGCTGCAGCGGACACTCAGAGCCGGCTGTCCCCTGGGTGCTGGCTTCCTGAGGCCCCCGCAGCGGAGACCACGAACGGGGGGTGCGCAGCAGGAGTCTCTCCCACGGCTCTGGAGACAGGGGTAAGTCAAGGCGCCCCCAGGGCTGGGCGCCCTCTGCGGGCTCCAGGGAGGAGCCCTGGCCTTCGGTCCTTGGCCCTCAGCTGTGTCACTCCAGGCAGGGCCTCGGCTGTCACACGGCGTCTTCCTGCCGCGTGTTCACACGGTTGGTTCCTTCTGCGTGTCTGTCTCGGCGCCTCTTCCCTCTCACCAGGACCCCAGCGAGACCGGGTTCAGGGCCCGCCCTGCTGAGGTCTGACCTCCCTAACTTAGTGATTACCCCACAGAAAGCCGTGCTCTGAGGTTCCAGGAAGGACATCAATTGAGGAAGGATGCTTTTCTATCAGGCACACTTGGAAGTCACTTAGGGACCATGGCTTGAGTCACAGGGGAGACGTGTGAAGCACAAGAGTCACGGGGGCTTGTCCCCTCAGCTTGGTGGGCTGGTGGGAGGACCGGGCTCCCTGGAGCCCCCTGCTGCTGCCCGGGCCCTCAGGGACTGTCCTCGCCCTCCCTGGATGTCCTTCCCGGACAGGCTCAGTGCAGGGTGCATCCAGGTGCCCACTGTGCGCTTCGAGGACGCGGCTTCCTGCCGAAGCACCTGCAGCTCCACAGGCCCAGCCGGGCCTGAAGGCAGGGCTGCCAATGACGGGCCTGGTGTCCCCACACATCTGCTCCCCAGCTATCAGTGCTGTTTATTTCCGACTTATCTGTACCTTTGTGTCCTGGTCATCCACCCACTTGTTCCCGGGGACACTTCCTGCTTGTAACAGCTCCTGGACTGATGCAATAGTTCCAAACCCAAAGGAGCTCTGGATTTAGAGGTCACTGTGGCTGCAAGTACCCCGAGTACACCTTGAGCCAGACCTCGGTTTCCAGTGAGCACGAGGGGCCGTCTGTGTCCCACCATGCGCAGGAGGAGGAGCACTGGCCCAGCCCTGGGGGCAGGAAACCAGGTTCCTGAGGAGCAACCTCAGACCCACGGTCTCTGTCCCAACTCACTGGGACCCTGTCCCCTCCCCTGCCCCCTGCACCGTTGGTGGGTGTCGCATTAGCAAGGCCTAGCCCCCTCCCCCACTTATCCACAGTGGAAACAAGTGGGGCCCCCCGAATTGGTCACTGTGGATGCTGCCTTCAGGTCCTGATTGCTCAGAGGGGTCCGGCAGGAGGAACTGCAGACACAGAGAGGGGCCCACACCCAGGGCAGCTGCAGAACGATGTGACCGCTGGTCAGCAGGAGGCTCCTAGGCAGTGTGCGACACCAAGGCCTACCCAGAGGTGTCGATGAACATGACTGTGCTTTCTTCCTCCATCTGGCTCTCTGCTGGTGCAGCAGCCAAGAGTGAGGACATCAGAGCTGAGAGGTGACATGGAATATATAGTCCTGTGGAGGACATATTGACTCTGTGCTTTCTTAGAGGTGGTGAGTTTGTATTGACCGTCTGGAACATCCTTCTGACCTCACCCATCTGTGAACTCCTATTCATCCCTCAAAACCCAGCTCAGATGTCACCCCAGATGAGAAGCCAGCTGTGTAGCATTGTGCCAGCTCTTATCATGCTGCATCACAATTCATGCTTTAAGGCTTGTTCTCCCTGGCAGGGCTGTGGTCTCCGAGGTCAGGAACCATGCTTGGTCCTCTTAGGGCTGAGCGCTGAGGGCCCGGTGCTCCTAGGGCTGAGCGCTGCACATGCTTGGTTTGTGCGTGTCCCATATGTGTGCCAATGGCCCTGCATCCCGCAGGTGGAAGGCTGGACTCTGGGCCATTCCACCTGCTTCTGGAGCCTTCCAGGAGACCCTCACCCCCCTGGCACACCTGCACACCAAGCCCAGGGTGGGAGGGTTTGCAGGGGAGGGCTCCCAGGACAGTCCAGAAACATGCTCACCCTAGATCTCAGGGGTGCACTGGGCAGCCACCTGTTAGGGTGGGGCCGACAAACAGTGACCTGGGGCCTGCAGCCCGACACTAGACCTTGGACTGCACAGGAACAGGGACGACCGCGGGCGGTGAGCTCTGGAGGCGGGGTGGGACTTCGGTCGGCCCTGGTGGAGAGCCCGGTTCCTGGGTCGCGGGCTCCCTGGAGCAGAAGGACGGGAACACACGGACTTCCCCCAAAACACTCGCTCAGTCCCCTGCTCTCCAAGGAGCTGTGCTGTGCACCTGCGGGAACCCAGCCCTGCCCTCGGGCCCAACCGCCACTCCCATCCTGCCTGGGCCAGTCTGCACCCTCTGCCAGGTGGCTGCTGTGCCACACCTGGCAGGTGATCAGTGTGTCCTGGGCTCAGCTCAGCTCTGTGTCACTATCTAACACAGTGCTGGGGGCTACGCACGATGTGACAGGTGCAGAAACTGAGGCACGAGCAGTAAAATGACGTCCCCAAGGTCACAGAGTCCAGGACTCCAGACCAGCGCTCCCTGCTTCCCCGCGATGAAGTGACCAGGCCTTCCCAAGAGGGACTCTGTAAGAACAGGGATTTTCACCTCAGCTTCCTTCCTCAGCCCCCAGCCCGGGCTCAGTGGGGAGTGACCGAGCCACACCGACGCAGGCCGTGTGGTCCGGGCAATGCTGCCCAGGGAGTCAGCAGTCTCTGAAGCCCCTGCCGAGGGGCAGGCCCAGGCACGCTGTCTGTCCGGACTGCGGGTGGTTACACGAGCATGCGTGGAAGCTACGGGAACAGCCCAAGTGCCCATCACTAGACGAGTGGATAAAAAGCCGTGACACGGAGAAGTAGTATCCGGCCATAAAAATGTAATGAAATCTTCCTTCTGTGACAGCATGGTGGACCTGGAGAGTTACACCAAGTAAAATAAGTCGGTCAGAGAAAGACCAGTGTCATGTGATTTCATACATGTGGTTTCATACATGTGGAATCTGAAGAACAGTATCAACAAACAGAACAGAAACAGACTCTCGGGTACAGATGGCGGCCGGAGGGCTGCCGGAGGGGAGGGGTTGGGCGCTGCGTGAAGAAAGCTGAGCTTCTCATACACTTTCCCATAAAGTACTGGTGCTTACAGACAGTCGTGGGGTGTGAAGTCGGCACAGGGAGTATCGTCAGTAACACTGTATGAACACGTATGGCCAGGTGGGCACTGCAAATACCGGGGAGCCCTTGGTAACTGCATGATTGTTTGCTACTATGCCTTACCCTGGAAAAATACAAAACAGTACTGAACGTAAACTATAATTTTTAAAAATGTTTTTAATCTAAAAACAAAAAAGGAACACCAGTGGAGACCAGGGCACGTGGAGCTCAGGGCACGTAGAGGTCAGGGCACGTGGAGGCCAGGGCACGTGGAGACCAGGGCGCGTGGAGGTCAGGGCGTGTGGAGGCCAGGGCGTGTGGAGGCCGGGGCACGTGGAGGCTATGGCACGTGGAGGTCAGGGCACGTGGAGACCAGGGCACGTGGAGGTCAGGGCGCGTGGAGGCCAGGGCGTGTGGAGGCCGGGGCACGTGGAGGCTAGGGCACGTGGAGGCCAGGGCACGTGGAGGCCAGGGCGTGTGGAGGCCAGGGCGCGTGGATGCCAGGGAGTGTGGGGGCGAAGGCACGTGGAATGCTCCTGGCCAGGGCCACCTCCAACTAACTGTTCCTTTAAGCCTGTTTCTGGAGTGTCTGTGCCTCTGGAACCTGGACTGGCTCCACAGCTTGGCCTGGCCCACATTCTGGGAGCAGGTAGGCAGGGGGTCTGGCTGGAAAGGCCCCCAGGAATTTCCCCAGACGGTGCTTTTCATAGTGTAAGAGTCAGCCATCGGTCTGCGAGGTGCCCTCCCTCTGAGAACACAGCAAACACACTGAAAACCGTGCCCACACTGCTCTTCCTGTTTGCAGCCTCCACCTGCCTTGGGGGGGGGGGGTGGCAACCCAGTGGCCGTGTCACCGCAATGTCATTCGCCGAGGGCTCACTGAGTACCAGGGGCTGGGAGTCACAAGGTGGGACGTGGTCGTTGTCCCCAACACGGGCATAGCCTGTCCCCATTGGCGAAGGGCAACTCTGTGGACAAACCCTGGGGTCGTCAGCTCCCAGCTACCCTGTCCCCTCAACCCAGGGGCTACGTTCGACCTGCTTCCGGATGACGGGAAATCCCCCCGGAGGGCCACTGGGTAACTGGTGCGGACCAGGGAGGTAGAATGCTGCAGGCGGAAAAGTGGGGGCGCAGCGGTGACAGTGCCCTACTCTCCTGCTCTCCGCAGGCCACCCCTGCGTGGGTCCCCCAGAGTGGGCGGACCTCAGGTCAACCAGAGGAATCTGAGCAGCCACCCTGACTTCTGTTCCTCCAGAGAGCGGTCTGAACACTCCCAGCTCGCTCACCGCTGCCGTTCTAAGACGGTTCCCAGACGGCCTGCGCCGGAAGAAAACCAAGCTGGGCGGCGGCGCTCAGGAAGCTTCCGCTTGTGCGAAGGACGTGCCTAGAGGTAGAGAGAAGGCTTCTGGGAAAACACCTAGGACGGTATTAAACCCGGACACCACCGCTCAACAGGGTCTGTCACACGCTCTGATTTCAGAAACCAACTGCACGCATTACATTTTTATTAAAATGTATTGAACACATTCACTTAATGCATTTATTGAACTGTAGTTAATAATACAAATATATATATATATATTATTATTATTATTATTTTGCTGGAAAAGAACAAAAAGGAAAGAAAGGAATTCATACCTGGCGGGAGCGGAGGGAGAAGCGGAATCACAGGCACCCCTGAGTCGGGCTGCTGGCCTGTCCCTCAGGACCCGGGGCTGACCTGGGGGTACGTGGCCAGGGGATCTTGTCACTGCACGGGGAGCCTTCTGACGCAGGCCAGCCCCTGGCTGTTTCCTCTTTCCTCCGGCCAGGCTGCCAGGGGAGCAACGGCCTGCTCCCTAGTCGAGTGCTAGGCCCAGACATCAGAGCAGTGAGCACCACCCTCTCGGCGTTAGGGAGCCTGCCTCTGGGGACAGGCGGGGCCGAGCAGGGCCATCCCCAAACAAACAGACTCCAGCGCGCCTGTGCAAACACAGGGGAATAAAGGAGTGTCCTGGGCCCACGCAGCATGTCCTCTGCGCGGCCCGGTCCCAGAGCCCGCCGTGACCATGGAGGCCACAGTGCTCTGGCTGCTGGCGGTGGTCCTGGCCTTGGGGTCCTCCAGCTCGTCCGTCCAGTACGTGGGCCTGTGTGAGTACAGTTGGCAGTCTCTTCCCTCCGCAGCGGGAGCGGGGCCTGTGGCAGCGGGGCAGCAGGGCGAGGGGAGCGGACACAGACGATCCGGGGCTTTCTGGGGGCTTGAGCAAGGTGGCCAAGCCCCACATTAATTTAACGGTGGCCGATTACCAGATACACACATTTTCTTTCAGCGGCCCTACAAGCTGGGTCTTGCTGTCCCCATTTTAGACAGGGAAACTGAGGCCCAGAAAGTTACTAACGGAAAGAAAGTGGACATCAGGGTGGGAGCCCAGGCTGCCCGGCTGGCGGCCAGGGCCCAGCCCCACTGCCCCATCACCTTCTTGGCCAGAAACTAAACGGAAAGGCACATGACAAGGACGACTTCCAGAACATCTGGACGGTTCAGCTCTTGCAGTGCAAGTCCAGGCGGGGGGCGTAGCTGTTTCAGCACCCCAGGTTTGAAGAAATTAGGGTGCGGCTTTATCGGGTACCGGCCGGGCTGTGCCTAAGGCAGCGGTTCCCAACCCGGGAGCCCTCAGACGCAGCAGGGCCCAGGCTGCGCCAATAGGTTGGAATGTCTCGGGGTGGAAGGGGGCCTGGTGGTGGCGAAAGGTCCCAGCGGACCCCAATGCTCGGGAACCACGGAGGAAGGAGCACGGACTGGCAGCGTGGAGGAGGGTGTGAGAGGGCCCACCCGCTTCCACTCCCCTAAGTGGATTCTGCTCACTTGAGACACAGGTGTGCTTGGGAAGTGAGCACTGGGGACAGGAGTTTGGGGACAGGAGGTGTGACAAGCCAGCTGATCGGGGGGAGGGAGGCGCAGAAAGGAAGTGAGGAGCGCAGTGTGCACTGTGACTTTCTCTATTGAAAGAATATATCCTGTTATACTTTTCATTTAAGCGGGCGAGGGAGTTTGTGTAGATAAAACAGTGAAAGGAACTTTGTTTCCGGGTTCAGGGGACCCCGGATCCCCTGGGCCGCTGCCAGCCTGCGGGAACACAGGCCTGTATTGACTGCCCGACAAGGTGCTGACGCTGGCCGGCAGACGGCCAGGTTTCCTGCAGAATGCTCCATCTCAAATATGTACACGGGAAGAGGGCTCGCCTCAAGCAGATGCTGGCGAGGGGTCATGTCCTTTGAACACGGGAGAGGAGAGGGAAAAGGGTACAGACCCACCCCAAGCCAGCAGGGCACTGGGGGCTGACTGGGCTGTGTCTGGGCTTTGTCTGGGACAGCGGAGACCCAGTGTGCCATCCCGGCCAAGGACAGGGTGGACTGCGGCTACCCCAACGTCACCCCTGAGCAGTGCAACAGCAGGGGCTGCTGCTTCGACTCGAGCATCCCCGAGGTACCCTGGTGCTTCAAGCCTCTGCAGCAGACAGGTAAACCGGCCCCCGTGTGCAGCGCCCTTTCTGGGCATGTGCTAGAGCCTCCAGGTACCCAGGAAGCCGCCACCCCTGGGCCCTGGGCAGGACACCCAGTGCCATGGCTGTTCGTCGGCCAAGGCTCGCTCACTCAGCGTTTCATGCCTGGGCAGCCAGCCACCAGAGGCTGTTTCCTGCTGTCCTGTTGCCAAGCAGTTTGTGCAAAATGCAAGAGCAACTGCTTCAGAAAGGTGTCAGAGGCAAGGCATTATGCAGAGAGAACTAGTTTTAAAAACTGTCCTGGGGGAAGCAGCAAGTGTGTAGGTTTGGAAAGCTGGGCCGGTTTGCCAGGTCATCTTCAGCAAACAAACCAACATTGGTGCCATGCAGACAGATGGCAGAGCTGGGCCTGGAGGCCTGGTGTCTCTCCACATCTCCTCAAAATTGCACCACCCCCCGCCCCTCCCTCCCTCGGTGGTGCAGTGGGGTGCAAGATAGTCACCCTGGGGAACCCCTGCCAGCAACAGATGGCATGCGCGCGGGCGGTTGCTGCCCTGGCTCCACCAGCCTCACCTCTCACACCCTGGGTGTGGAGGGCACTATAAGCCAGCTGGCAGCCCAAGTGCCAGCACCCCGGAGGACGACACCTTCCTGGAAGCAGCACCCAAGGGGCCACTCCTGCCCTTTGAGCCAGGATAACCCAGACAGGGCTGCATCCCTTCTCTGAGCACTGGGTGGCCCCGTAGAGGCCCATCTCGGTGACCATCTGCCCCTCCCATGGGGCCTGGTGGGGCCCATGGCTGTTCTCCCCCGAGGTGGGGACTCGGCACTTCCCCAGTGACTTGGGGGAGAATGCAGCAGAAGATAGTGACCTTGGAGCCTGTCTTGCTGTGAGCAGCTGGGCGGCTGGAGGGTGGAGAGGAGACCGGCTCCCAGTAATGCCTCCTGTGCTTTGTTTCCAGAGTGTGTATTCTGAAGCCACGCCCACTGCCCCCAGACTCCCTGGGAGGTGAATTTCTACCCCCTGGCGTCCCACCTGCTCATCTCTGCTTTTCTATCGTCCTGCTCCTGGCAAGGCTCTGGCTGGAGGCTAATGTTCGGGGCCTGATGTCTTAACGAATAAAGATCATACTCAGCAGACAACAGGTCTTTATTCCTGAGACTGATGTTGCATTTTATTTCTGCTCAGTCGCCCTCACTCCCTTCTCAGGGTCACAGATGGGACGGCAGGGGTGACGTGGCGTCTCAGGGCAGAGGGGCTGTCCCAGCCTGGGGAGCAGGGACAGAAAACAGCCCCTAAGGAGCTACACCGCCTGGGGTTTGGTGCAACCCTCAGACCCAGTGCAGACAGAGGGAGGGCGAGCAACCCCCACGCGGTCACTGCCTCCTGGGAGCGCAGCAAAGACATTTCAAAGGTAAGTTTCAAAAAAAAAATCATTAGTGTCTTTCTCAGTGAAAAGAAAGCCAATAAAAGCATCTTACAAACTGGCACTTTTTCATATTTATTTGCAAGTTCAGTTTAACACATGTTTTACCCTGGGTGACCACATTTCTGTTTTTTTTCTTCTGAAAACGAACCTGGTTATGTGGATAAATGAAGTAGGGTCACCCAGAAGATGCCATATCAAGTTCGCATGAAGGTTTAACAACCCCTGACGGAGACCTGTCCCCCCACCATGGACACACAGTTCCCCGTTCAGGTGCGCGGCCCAGCGAGCCCTGGCTGGGTTGCACGTTGGCTCGGGCCGAGCGTCCTCTGCTGACTCTGGCCATGGGACTCTCTTAAGGACATGAGGACGCTTCTACCGCACCCTTGTCACGCTGGGCCGTGGCCAGAAAGCACTGCTGTCCGTGGACGGGGCTGAGGTTCTCCGGCTGAGCTGTGTATGTGCTCACACCTGGGACCAGGCCCCTGGAGATATTTCTACCGTCTGGAAGGTGAGGAACCTGTCCAAGAGGCCCTGCTGAGAGGGACCTGGTCAGGATGCATCCCTTCTAACACCTTCCAGGCCTCGGCCGGAGCCTTCCCAGGGACACCTCGGAGCCAGGAGCACAGGCAGAGAGTGGCCTCTCTCAGACGCTCCTGGGACCCGAGCCGTTCTCACCTGGCCCGCTCCCCAGCCCCGTCTCGGTGTCCCTCTCACCACAGATGCCGCCCAGCTTTTGAAGCCAGGCCTGAGTTTAGCCGGGGGGTTTAGGGGTCAGCCCAGGCCCGGGGTATTGGCTTCAGGGCAGGCCACACGCTGCTGCTTTGGCATCACCCAGCTGTCTGGCTCGAAGCCCGCCGGGGGCTTTCCCTCTCGGGGGTACTCTGCTGCCTCCTTGCAGCCCAGCCTTATCCACGGTGAGCCCCACCTGTGCCATCCCTGAGCTCTGCCTGCCTGTGCCATCCCTGAGCTCTGCTGCCTGTGCCATCCCTGAGCTCTGCCTGCCTGTGCCATCCCTGAGCTCTGCTACCTGTGCCATCCCTGAGCTCTGCTGCCTGTGCCATCCCTGAGCTCTGCTGCCTGTGCCATCCCTGAGCTCTGCCTGCCTGTGCCATCCCTGAGCTCTGCTGCCTGTGTCATCCCTGAGCTCTGCCTGCCTGTGCCATCCCTGAGCTCTGCCTGCCTGTGTCATCCCTGAGCTCTGCCTGCCTGTGCCATCCCTGAGCTCTGCTACCTGTGCCATCCCTGAGCTCTGCTGTCTGTGCCATCCCTGAGCTCTGCTGCCTGTGCCATCCCTGAGCTCTGCTACCTGTGCCATCCCTGAGCTCTGCTGCCTGTGCCATCCCTGAGCTCTGCTGCCTGTGCCATCCCTGAGCTCTGCCTGCCTGTGCCATCCCTGAGCTCTGCTACCTGTGTCATCCCTGAGCTCTGCTGCCTGTGCCATCCCTGAGCTCTGCTGCCTGTGCCATCCCTGAGCTCTGCTGCCTGTGCCATCCCTGAGCTCTGCCTGCCTGTGCCATCCCTGAGCTCTGCTACCTGTGCCATCCCTGAGCTCTGCTACCTGTGCCATCCCTGAGCTCTGCCTGCCTGTGCCATCCCTGAGCTCTGCTACCTGTGCCATCCCTGAGCTCTGCCTGCCTGTGCCATCCCTGAGCTCTGCCTGTGCCATCCCTGAGCTCTGCTACCTGTGCCATCCCTGAGCTCTGCCTGCCTGTGCCATCCCTGAGCTCTGCCTGCCTGTGCCACCCCTGAGCTCTGCCTGTGCCATCCCTGAGCTCTGCCTGCCTGTGCCATCCCTGAGCTCTGCCTGCCTGTGCCATCCCTGAGCTCTGCTACCTGTGCCATCCCTGAGCTCTGCCTGCCTGTGCCATCCCTGAGCTCTGCCTGCCTGTGCCATCCCTGAGCTCTGCTACCTGTGCCATCCCTGAGCTCTGCTACCTGTGCCATCCCTGAGCTCTGCCTGCCTGTGCCATCCCTGAGCTCTGCCTGTGCCATCCCTGAGCTCTGCCTGTGCCATCCCTGAGCTCTGCCTGCCTGTGCCACCCCTGAGCTCTGCCTGCCTGTGCCACCACTGAGCTCTGCCTGTGCCATCCCTGAGCTCTGCCTGTGCCATCCCTGAGCTCTGCCTGCCTGTGCCATCCCTGAGCTCTGCCTGTGCCATCCCTGAGCTCTGCCTGTGCCATCCCTGAGCTCTGCCTGCCTGTGCCACCCCTGAGCTCTGCCTGCCTGTGCCACCCCTGAGCTCTGCCTGTGCCATCCCTGAGCTCTGCCTGCCTGTGCCATCCCTGAGCTCTGCCTGTGCCATCCCTGAGCTCTGCCTGTGCCATCCCTGAGCTCTGCCTGTGCCATCCCTGAGCTCTGCCTGCCTGTGCCACCCCTGAGCTCTGCCTGTGCCATCCCTGAGCTCTGCCTGCCTGTGCCATCCCTGAGCTCTGCTACCTGTGCCATCCCTGAGCTCTGCCTGCCTGTGCCATCCCTGAGCTCTGCCTGCCTGTGCCATCCCTGAGCTCTGCTACCTGTGCCATCCCTGAGCTCTGCTACCTGTGCCATCCCTGAGCTCTGCCTGCCTGTGCCATCCCTGAGCTCTGCCTGTGCCATCCCTGAGCTCTGCCTGTGCCATCCCTGAGCTCTGCCTGCCTGTGCCACCCCTGAGCTCTGCCTGCCTGTGCCACCCCTGAGCTCTGCCTGTGCCATCCCTGAGCTCTGCCTGTGCCATCCCTGAGCTCTGCCTGCCTGTGCCATCCCTGAGCTCTGCCTGCCTGTGCCATCCCTGAGCTCTGCTACCTGTGCCACCCCTGAGCTCTGCCTGCCTGTGCCATCCCTGAGCTCTGCCTGCCTGTGCCATCCCTGAGCTCTGCCTGCCTGTGCCATCCCTGAGCTCTGCTACCTGTGCCATCCCTGAGCTCTGCCTGCCTGTGCCACCCCTGAGCTCTGCCTGTGCCATCCCTGAGCTCTGCCTGCCTGTGCCCTCCCTGAGCTCTGCCTGCCTGTGCCATCCCTGAGCTCTGCTACCTGTGCCACCCCTGAGCTCTGCCTGCCTGTGCCATCCCTGAGCTCTGCCTGCCTGTGCCATCCCTGAGCTCTGCCTGCCTGTGCCATCCCTGAGCTCTGCTACCTGTGCCATCCCTGAGCTCTGCCTGCCTGTGCCACCCCTGAGCTCTGCCTGTGCCATCCCTGAGCTCTGCCTGCCTGTGCCATCCCTGAGCTCTGCCTGCCTGTGCCATCCCTGAGCTCTGCTACCTGTGCCATCCCTGAGCTCTGCCTGCCTGTGCCACCCCTGAGCTCTGCCTGTGCCATCCCTGAGCTCTGCCTGCCTGTGCCACCCCTGAGCTCTGCCTGCCTGTGCCATCCCTGAGCTCTGCCTGTGCCATCCCTGAGCTCTGCCTGCCTGTGCCACCCCTGAGCTCTGCCTGCCTGTGCCACCCCTGAGCTCTGCCTGTGCCATCCCTGAGCTCTGCCTGCCTGTGCCATCCCTGAGCTCTGCCTGCCTGTGCCATCCCTGAGCTCTGCCTGCCTGTGCCATCCCTGAGCTCTGCCTGCCTGTGCCATCCCTGAGCTCTGTCTGCCTGTGCCATCCCTGAGCTCTGCTACCTGTGCCATCCCTGAGCTCTGCTACCTGTGCCATCCCTGAGCTCTGCCTGCCTGTGCCATCCCTGAGCTCTGCTACCTGTGCCATCCCTGAGCTCTGCCTGCCTGTGCCATCCCTGACTCTGCCCTTTCTGCTCTGGACACCTTCTTCCACCACCTCCCTACCTGCCCCTGGACGGCCCGGTGTCTGCCACTGGGTGCAGAGGGAGGAGTTCCAGCCCACAGTACGCAGGTGGAGTCCACCCTCGTCCGCCACTGAGCCAGCCCACCTCCCTGCCCTGCTTATTCCTTCCTCAGCTATGACGATGTTCTAGCCGGTTTCTGCTTACTCTCCTGCCCTGCGTGTGGCGGTTCTGGTTGTCTGGTACCCAGTGGGAAAGTGTGACCGTGGAGATCTATCAGGTCAGGTGTGGTCAGAAGAGCAGGGCCCCACCGACGCGGCACATCACTCCCCGTGGACGAGCCCCCACCCCTGGGCTGGGCCCGGGGCCGCCCCTCACCCTGCCGCAGGGACTCATTCTGTCCTTCCTGACTGTCCTGAGTCCGTATTCGTTCTCTGTGGCTCCCCCAACCCACTCCGCTTGTTCAAGGAGGTGCAAACAGTGCCCAGGATGGCAGTGCCACCCCACCCCTGGTGGGCCTCAGCTCGAGTTCCCACTCCTGGCGGCCCTGAGCGCTGACCTAGAGCGGAGGGATCCCTGCCCCGGGGGCTGGGCGTCCCAAGGGCGTGCTCCCGTGGCGGCATAGCCGCTGCCCGGCCCTCAGAGGAGGCCCCAGCCTGGGGAGGACGGGGCCCGTGGTGCCATCCTGCGCTTGGCCGCACAGCCCTCTGGGTGAGGAGAGAGCCAAGGCCGGGGCCAGGGACAGGGGACAACTCCACCCTGGAAGCAAGAGGATCCTGAGACTTCTGTGCCCCGCCCGTCTCAGATGGAGCCGCAGCCCCGGTGAGTGGCCGTCACCCCTCACAGACAAGGCTGTCACCAGCTCCCTGTCACTTAGTGGCCAGATCAGAGCCAGTGCTTCTTCGTCAAGGCTGTGGACAGCACCAAGGGGGTGAGCCTCGCCCTCCTAGCCCAGAGGGAGCTCGTGTTCCGTTGGCTGCTCGGGGCCCCGTCTCGACACTGTGC